ACAATTACAAAGCCTCTTGTTATCAACAGTCGTGACCACTTTAGAATGCACCAGTTCATTGCATGCTGAAGCAACACCGCTGGTCAAGAAACCAGTTTCTGGCATAGCACTATTTGTAGTTACTTTTGCTTTCTCTGAGAGACTGCAGATAATAAGATGTAAACATTAACACGTGAATACAATTTAACTTCCATTTAGCTATAGCTTTACTCTGCATGACTGTAGATAAGGATAGCAGCAAACAATCATTGGAGCTTAATGAACATTTTTAAAAATAACTACACCAAGGGGTCTGGGGATGTGGCTCAAGCGGTAGCGTGCTCACCTGGCATACGTGCGGCCCAGGTTCGATCCTCAGCACCACATACCAACAAAGATGTTGTGTCCGCTGAGAACTAAAAAATAAATATTAAAATATTCTCTCTCACTCTCTCTAAAAAAAAAAAAAACTACCAAGGCCTCCCCTCTACTTGTGAGTTTTGAAATTGTTTTGTTTATTTTCAGGGAAACCGTTTAATTTAATTGTATGATTTGTCTGCACTCAGTTTATTCCCTTCTCAAATCTCAGCCCCATGTTGTTCTTTGTTATTGTCAGAACCTGGTGAGTTGTTTTGAACAGAACTGTTTTTCCCCCCTCCTGTAAGACAATGTTACTGCACAAGAGCACTGCAGTGTTTTTCATAATAAACTTGTGAACTAAGAACTGAGAAAGTAAAAAAAAAAAAAAAAAAAAAAAAGCTGCAAGTGGATCAGAAAATGTATTGCCAGAGTTTATAAATGCCAAATGCTGAAACCAACACTGGTTAACTTCATTAGAGAGGGTTATTGAAAAGATATTGGTGCCTTACAGAATTTGCAAATGATCTGGAGAACAGGCTCAGCAAAAAGGGCCAAATCAAAGAAAGCAAAGTTCTCTGAAAATCAGCCATCTGTTGCCAAAGAAGAAACGTAGTTGAGATGCTATAGCTACCCTGTTGTGCCAAAGTACTCCTTGCCTTGCAGCCCTACTCCTTAGAAATCTCCAAGTCTCCCTGCAACGTTGTGTCCCTCTTACAAGGTTCAAAGTCCTGCAAGGGAGCTTTTCATCAATCAGCCAACCCTAGGTCACAGTTCTGAGTCTTCACTTCTAGGGTGCCTAGAAATAGAAAATTCTGACCTTTAGTTTCCAGAGTAGGATTCCTCCAAATAGGCATTCAGAGGCTATGATACCAAAAAAAGGTACAAATGTCCAGTCTAATTCAGGAAAATGAGCATTAACCTTCACTGGGCCTTTATGATACAAAATTCTAATGTTGATTTAGGGCATTCTTATCATATGCGTTAGCACTCTGAGGAGTAAGAGAAATCTTTTTTTGCTAAATTATTTCTGTTAAATCATCAGTCTCATCAAACTGAGGGACTGAAGATTACTCTTACTCCAGAGCAGCAGGAGGTATCCACTGCTATTAGAAATTCCTATGCTAAAAAGCCAGATTCCCAACTCCCTCCTCAAATAAGAGGTTGCATTTTCCATTGATTGTGGGTATGTTAGAACAAAACTGCTTCAAAGTGAAGATACCATCTCTCAAGTATTAAGAAATTATTAGGGGCTGGGGTTGTGGCTCAGTGGTAATGCACTTGCCTAGCATGCATGAAGCACTGGGTTTGGTCCCCAGCACCATATAAAAAAACAAAAAAAAAAACAACTATCTATATCTATATCTATATCTATATCTATATCTATATCTATATCTATCTATCTATATCTATCTATCTATATCTATATCTATATCTATATATATATATATATATATATATAATTATTGTGTCCATATACAACTAAAAATAATTTTTTAAAGAAATTATTAAAAAGTCCACAATGAGGGTAGGTGCCACAGTCTGGCTGGGCACAAATCACCGAGCTGCCACAAAGCACTTGTATATTCAAACAGGAAACTTTATTGCCCGAACTCCACCAGTACTCCTTGGGAATTCTCCCAGCCGCCCCCCACCCCCCATCTCTGAGAACTCAACCGGAACTTCAAAGTAGCGGTCCACCGAGGCAGTAAAGGTCTATATACAACTGAATACACAGCTTAACATAACCATCATCTTCTCAATGGCTGGATGGCATCACCTCTCAACCACTCCCTTCTGGCAAAATGCCATGTGTCATCCCAACTAGGCTGTGGCCCTCAACAGGTAGGGTCTGAGAACAAGAAGGTGTTCTTAGCTAAACTTTCTGCTTTATAGAGTTTTTTAACTTAAAAAAAGTATACATATACACTGAGGATTGAACCGATGGGCACTCCACCACTGTGCTACATCCCCAAGAATTTTTATTTTTTATTTTGAGACAGGTAAGTTGCTTAGGGCCTCACTAAGTTGCTGAGGCTGGCTTTGAACTTGTGATCTTCCTGCCTCAACCTCCCAAGTCACTGGGATTACAAGTGTGCACCACCATGCCTGGCTCCCCAGAACTTTTTATATTTTATTTTGAGACAGGGTCTTCCTTAATTGACAAAGCTGGTCTTGAACTTGCAATCTTCCTGCTTCAGCTTCTCAAGTAGCTAGAATTACAGGCATGTGCAACTGCACCCAGTAAGCAACTGATTTTGTTGCCATCTAGGACCATGCTTCTGTTAGTAAGTCTCTAATGAATTTCACTTTTTGCAATCTTGGATCTCTCTGCCTTTCTTCAATCTCATGGCATGTTGGGCATGGTCTTCATTTACTGKGACCAGATTGTTTTGGAACAGAGTTGAGAGAATCAAATAAGTTAGTTCAAGTAAAACTTAGAATAGTGCTTGGCAAAACTATGGAGATAGAAAACAAAAATCTTATCCCCCAACTCTTTCTGACCTATAGAATGAGAATTTGTATTTCAATTTCATCCCAGGGAGTTTGCATATTAAAGCTTGAGAAGCACTGGCATAGATGATGTACATTAAACATTTGTTGTACTCTATGAACATCCAACATCTTCTTAAACATCTGTGTGTGTGTGTGTGTGTGTGTGTGTGTGTGTGTGTGTGTGTTGGGAATTTCACACAATTCTACTTCCAAGAAGTGGAATCCAGAAACTGGCCTTCCCAGCTTCCCTTGAAGCTTGGGCATAGGAATTTGACCTGGGCTCTCCATTCATTATGCAGAAGCTTTGGTTCAGATGCACACAGTGGTAGAAAGAGGCTTGTGGTGGAACCAATGTCTGAGAAGTAAGCTGAGGAGGCATCTAATTTGAGGAATATTGTGAGCAATGCTATTAATAATTACTCAGAGGCAGATTGTCTTTAAATGCAAGTATATATTCAATCACACCAATCATCAAATACAAACAATTAATGCAAAAGTGTTGGGTGTGCTGGAGCACCCCAACTAGCATTCAATGCACACTAATTAAACACTATAAGCAAATTACACAATCCTAGGGCAAATACCTCTAATGCTACGTGACTTCTCTTAGCCAAAGAGCAGATATTGTCCTTGTCTTGTGGTTCTCTCCAGATGATGGCTGGACATCAGGGAAAGGTGGAGTTAGTCCAGGGACGGACAGCAGAGCAGCCAGTCTCACCTATGTCCTTGGAGCAAAACTCTTCAATGTGGCAGGACCAGCAATTTAAATATAGTTCCAAGTTAGTGGTACACATTGGTGATTGGTTATTGCCATATTCAGATACTGCCATGTTCATCCCTCTTTTTCCAGGAATAATCACGGTCAAAATCTTGTCAATGATTTGGCCCTTGTTTTCTAACCTTCTCACTTTCCTTTTCTTTTCATAGTCTTTTTAAGAATGGTTATAAATGTGAGCCGGGTATGGTGGTTCATGCCTGTAATCCCAGTAGCTGGAAAAGCTGAGGCAGGGGGACGGTGAGTTCAAAGGCAGCCTTAGTAACTTTGCAAGACCCTAAGGAACTCAGGAAGACTCTGTCTCTAAATAAAATATTACACGGGGCTGGGGATGTGGCTCAGTGGTTGAGCAACCCTGAGTTCAATCCCAGGTACAAAAAAAAAAAAAAAAAAAGTATTTATAAATGTGAACAGTAGAGTGCCTTGTCTTGTGGTGGTAGTTTCATATGGTGGGACTTGTCACTACCATAGCCACACTGATGGGATTTGGTCACCTCTAGAGAATGTTGTCAGTCAAGTTACTGCTACTAATGGCTGATACCTTTCATCACACTTTTCTTGGGAAGAAAATAACAGTCTTGAAAATTGAGGACTGGGAAGAAATTTATAACTCAATAAATATGATGATATCCCTTGAAGGGTATCCAAGGTCATCTTTTATTTGTGGCGCTAGGGAATCAAACCCAGAGCCTTACGCATCCTAAACAAATGTTCTGCAACTGAGCTACACACCCAGCCCTCAAAGAGTTTCTGGCACAACACATTCTTATGCACTGTGGCCACCCTTCTGTCATACCTTCTTATAGCTTTGCTGTTTTTGTAAATTTGTCCGCTTCCAAGGCCATCCCCCTCTACAAGCTGTGAGGTTCTCTGGGACCCACACCAAATCTTATGTACGGGTCTTGAATTCATGCTTAACACAAGCCTAGAACACAGAAGGAGCTTGGCAACTACTGACTAAATGAATGAGGGAAAACCTCACATTCGGTGAATAGGGCATGGGTCCCCTGTGACAGTAAAAAGCCACCAATGTGCTCTAACTTGAGCAGCAAAGGGATGAAGGAGATAAACGCCAGCCCGGAAAATTGCTCAGGGGACAAGAAAAGTCAAAGGTATGGAAAACTGGGCTACTGTAACTCAGCAGGGGATAAGAAGGTGATGCTGGAACCTCCAGCTCTGCAAGAAATCGACCCCACACTTGGGCGGGAATTGGCGAGGAGGCGGGGCTCCCGACACGTGACTCCTCTGTTTCCTGGCAACCACAGCCCCGCCCACCTCTTCCCCGCCTTCTGCTCCTGGCTTCCTCACGAGCTCCCCTAGACCAATCGACTCACACAACGTCGCCAGGTCGGATGATAATTGGAGGACTGCTGGGCTCCGTCACTTGGAGACTCCGCCCCTCCCTGTTTCTTCCTGCTTACCAGCGACAGACCTGAGCCGAGCGATCCCAGGTTGCTGGGTAGGTGATTGCGGCAGGTGAGGAGGGCTTGGGTGTCCAGCATTTTGTATTCCCTGGTCTGAACTGACCGCAGAAAACCAGAGGGTGTCGAGGACTTGATTTGTCGTCACTCCCAGCCAGTCCTTGATGCCAGAGCGACTGAGGCCTAGAGTGTGGACTCAGGGTTTCCTGAGGGGGTCCAGACATCTGTGGCCAGGGTCTGGAAGTGCTCCAGTGAGAGCTAAGTTTTGGTTGGGTGTGTTCAGAGGCGGGTAGGTTCCTCATTTCATCTGGGACACCGTGGCATATCTGTCTCTTTTACCTTGGGCCTTTTCTATGACTGCTGGGCTCTGTCGCTTGGAATTTTTCAGACCTTTAGCTGAGCAACCTTCCTTCCTTATCGCAAAGACTTTTTTTTTTTTTTTTTTTTTTTAATATACTGATTTTGCAGTACTGAGGCTGGTCTTCCCACATGCTAGTCAAACGCTCTACTCCTGAACTACATATCCAACCCTTTTGGGGCTTTCCATCCAACTGCCTGGGCCACCTGAGTAGCTGGATTTTCAGGCGTGCGCCACCACACCAGACTCTATAAGACCCTTCAGGGAAGGTGTTAATCTGAACTATAAACATAGCTGATTATGCAAGCTCTCAGGTTCTTTACATAGTCTTTCCCATCTGTCCTTGCTTGGGCTGCTTTCAACGTCCCAGACAGGCAGAATATTGGGTACTGGGTAAAAATATGGGTTTTGGAGCAGCACCAGTGGGGTCTCCAGTCAGAGATTCATCATGTATTAGTAATGTGCCCTTAAGCAGCTATCCTTTTGAACCTGTTTCTCCATCTATAAAATGATGAAAATGCCTATTTTTCAATGTTTCTGTTAAATGCTAACTACCCTGATCTGAGCATTACACGTTGTTTATATGTAGTGAACACTATACCCCATAAATATACACAATTAAAATGGTTATTTAGCTGGGTATAGTGACACACACCTGTGTGTCATCCCAGCGACTTGGGAGACTGAAACAGGAGACAGGAGATTTGCAAGTTTGAGACCAGCTTCAGCAATTTAGCAAGGCTCTAAGCAACTTGGTGAGTCTTTGTCTCAAAATTAAAAAAAAATAGAAAAGTGGCTCAGTGGATAAGTATCTCTGGTTTCAAACCCTGGTACCAAAAAAAAAAAAAAAAAAATTGAGACCAGCTTCAGCAATTTAGCAAGGCTCTAAGCAACTTGGTGAGTCTTTGTCTCAAAATTAAAAAAAAATAGAAAAGTGGCTCAGTGGATAAGTATCTCTGGTTTCAAACCCTGGTACCAAAAAAAAAAAAAAAAAAAGCCTAATAATTTAAAAGTGAAAAAGATAAATTATGAATTATAGACCAGCTGCTACATGTAAAGAGCAATGGCCCTTGTACTGTGAGGGTACCCTCTGACAGACAGTCATGCAGCACTTTTACTATCTTCATGTCTATGTAACTGTGCAAGTGCTTGTCTGGGTTCTGTTGAAAACAGAATTTAATTGGCTAAGGATAGAACAGTTACATTTTGGAGATCTTCAGAAAAAAGCACGGCTTTTTGTTCACACTGGAAGCATCCTAGAAATTCCTGTGCATGTGAAAGAGAGAGAGGGAGAATATATAATATAAGCCAGGGGTGGTGGCCCACACTTGAAATCCCAGCTACTTGGGATACTTAGGCAGGAAGATTGTGAGTTAGAAGCCAACCTGGGCAACTTACTGAGACCCCATCTCAAAAACAAAACAAAACACACACGCAATGTAAAATTTTAACCATTTTTGTGTGTTCTGCTCAGTGGCATTTATATCATAGCTATAACCATTATTCAGCTACAGAACTCTCCAAATAAAAACTATCCTTAAGAAATAACTTCCCAAGGCTGGGGTTGTAGCTCAGTGGTAAGTTCTCGCCTAGCACGGGTAAGGCACTGGGTTTGATCCTCAACATCACATAAAAATAAATAAATAAAAATAAAGGCATTGTGTCTACCTACAACTAAAAAAAAAAAGGAAAAATAGCTTTACATTTTCCCTTCTCTGCAGCCCCTGATGACTACCAGTCTATTTTCTGCTTATCAGCTCATATGAGTAGAATCATATAGTATATATCCTTTTGTGTCTGGGCTTATGGAAAGTCCCTTTTTATTTATTTATTGTGGTGCTGGAGCCTTGTGCATTTGAGGTAAGCACTCTACTAACTGAGCTATATCCCTAGCGCCTTCCCCCCCTTTATTTTTGTTTATTTATTTTTAATTTTATTTTTGGTGCCGGGAATTGAACCCAGAGACACTTAACGAAGTCCCATCCCAAGTCATTTTTATTTTGAGACAGGATTTTTTTTGTTAATATATTTTATTTTGTCAATGGACGTTTATTTTTAAATTTATTTATATGTAGTGCTGAGAATGCAACCCAGTGCCTCATACATGCTAGGCAAGTGAGCCACAACACCAGCCGAGACAGGATCTTGTTAAAGGGCCTCACTAGGTTGCTAAGGCTATACTTAAACTTGCAATCCCCCTGCCTCAGCCTCCTTCCAAGTTGCTGGGATAGAAATTTCATGAAGACAAACTTCATTTTGAATAACTTGATGAATGCAGAGCTAGAAAGGAACTCAGTTGCCCTTTTGACATCTTTGTACATAATATGAATCTGATGGAAGATATTTTAATTTTTTTGTTAAAAGAAACTTTTTAAATTCCTATTACCTTCATTAATGGACAAATAAATATATGAGTGCCACACATTTATACTGTATTCTTAAAACTAGTTCTTACATACTTGATCTTCTGTTTTCCAGCTTAAATCCCAAATGAAAATGTTTGAGAGTGTTGATTCTACAGCTACAAGATCTGGCAGAGATCTCTGGGCCGAAATCTGTTCTTGTCTGCCAAATCCTGACGAAGATGTTGCCAACAATGCCTTCTCGGACTCCTTTGTGAATTCTTACCCTACAGGTGAAGGCCAGAGGGAGGCAGAAAACTTTGCAGTCCAGCCAGCTATAAAGCCCTGGGCTCCCTTGCAGGATTCAGAAGTATATTTAGCATCTCTAGGTAAGTTAGCTTGCTGGCGTACACTCTTTTTAAAATCAGAAGCTGGTGGTTTTAGAGGAGCATGTTGAAGTTCTCTTGAATCAAACTTGGTTTCCTGTTCCCTTTTTTTTTTTTTTTTTTTTTAAGTCTTTGATACATGTATCTGTTAGATGTAATTCTAGGGGTGTTTCAGTTTTGTTATAGGAAAGGATCACCCTCACTTTTCTTGCACATCCCTTGAAGCAATTTTTGTCACCTCTTACCTCTAACCATTTCATCTAAATTCTGTATTTTGGGATTTTATTTATTCATTTGGCAGTATGGAGGATTGAACCTAGGGGTGCTATACTACTGAACTAAATCCCTAGCCCTTTTTATTTTTTATTTTGAAACAGGGTCTTGCTAAATTGCCCAGACTAGCCTCAGTTTGTGATCCTCTTGCCCTAGCCTCCCAGGTTGGATTACAAGCATGCACCACTGCACCTGACTTAAATTCTGTTTTATTTCTTGGCATTCTGTAGAACCCTCTTGCTTACTATTATTGGCCTGCCCATATATTCAGGTAACTTAAAAGTGTTAAACTTTATGCCATCCTGATAGTAATGCTCATGACCCCAAAGCTACATGGAGATTTCTAATGGTAGAGCTGGAAAAATTGTTATATTATATAGACTGATTGTTGGAAATGGGAAGGCATGTTGACATAAATTCATTTTATCTCTTATTAGCTATTTTATTTTTCTATATATTTTTATTTTATTTATTTGTTTTTTAAGTGGTGCTGAGGATCGAACCCAATGCCTCACACATGCAAGGCAAACACTACCAATTGAGCTACAACCCCCAGCCCCAGCCATTTTATTTAAAAAAAAATGTTTCTTGTATACATTTTCAGTGCCGTGTCCTGTGGCCATAATGTAAGTATCTAGAGAGATTCCAAACATAGGAATCAAATTCAGATTGTTCCATGCTAGGAGAAAGAGAAATGTCAGCCTAATTTATTTTTTAACTGATACATAAAAACATAAAAACTGTACATGTTGCCTGGCATGGTGGTACGTGTTGTAATTCCAGCTACGTGGGAAGCCGAGGCAAGATGATTACAAATTTGAGGCCAGCCTCAGCAACTTAGTGAGACCTTGTCTCAAAATAAAATTTTCAAAAACGGGCTGGGGCTATAGCTCAGTGGTAAAGTGCCCCAGGTTTCAATCCTAGTTTTAAAATATAAAAAATAAATTAGGTCTGGGGTTGTGGCTCAGTGGTACAGCGCTTGCCTAGCATGTGTGAGGCCCTAGGTTCGATTCTCCAGATTACATATAAATAAATACAATAAAGGTTTATTGACAACTTTAAAAAAAAAAGAAAAAAGATTTTTAAAGTAAATAAATTAAGGGCTGGGGTTGTGGCTCAGTGGTAGAGCGCTTGCCTCACACATGTGGGGCACTGGGTTCGAACCTCAGTACCACATAAAAAAATAAATAAATAAACAAAATGAAGGTATTGTGACCATCTACAACTAGAAAAATATTTTTTTAATCATTTAATTAAAACTACACACATTAATGGGGTACCATGTAATGTGTGTGTATGGTTTTTTTTTTAATTTATATTTTAGTTGTCATTGGACACAATACCTTTATTTAATTTGTTTTTATGTGGTGCTAAGGATCAAACCCAGGTTCTTGTACATGCTAGGCAAGTGCTCTACCGCTGAGCCACAACCCAGCCCCCATGTAATGTTTTGATACATGTATATGTTATGTAATATTTAAGTCAAGGTAAGAATATCTGTTCTCCTCAAGCATTTATCATTTGTTTATGGTGAAAACTCTCAAAATAATTTCTTCTTATAGTATTCTTTTGTTGCTGGAACATCTATCACAAGACCAAATCTTCGAACTCATAATTTGAGGAAGGAAAGGCAAGCCAGGGAGAAGGAGCTTTTAATGAAGGACGGAGAGAAGAAGCAGAGCTTATATGATTGCTAAGGAATACCTTGGGAGAACAAAAAGAATTTCATTAATGGCATAATGGAGGGAAAAAAATAGGAGTAAAACAGTTGGAATGATAGAGAATAAGAAAGATGAGGGAGTAATGTGAAATTTGGTGGGAAGTCACCAAAGAGAATAATGATGCTTGCAGCCATGTCTGAAGGGGTTGAAAGTTCTGCTTTCAGTAGCCAAAGCTCCTGCTTAATAATGATAAGGAGAAACAACAACAGTGTGAGAAAGCTAAAGAACCAGATCCATTGGCTTGTTAGTACCATGTGACTGGGGTTATTAGAATACATATATTCTAATATACGCCTCATGGAGATGGTGATGATTTTGATTGGCGAAGACTGACTTGGAAAGTTACAACTCCACTATTGTCATGTATTTAAGAAATTAAAAAAAAAAAAAGAAAAAAAAAAGAAAGTTACAACTCTACTAAACTTTTCTAAAATCAGTTAAGAAACTAACTGGTAATTAAAATTTCCTTCTCTGGAGAAAATGGGAGCCATTTATGTTTCCTAGGAAAGGAGCTGGGTGACAATGGCAGGCAGGTTTGGAGTATGTAAACATGTCTGTTTCTGCCTGCCCTGTTGAAATCATACCTCCTCAGGAACTCAGCACACTCAGAGAGGGGAAAGTCTTTTGTAGCCCAAAGTATATTTTTCACCATGACAACCAAGGCCAGACAATATGAAGATTGTTTCTATTGCCAGATAAACATGTATCAAAGAAAATCCACTGGTAAGAGCAATAATTAAAAATGTAACCAGTTAAACATGAGGTATGCATAACCCCTTTTATATCCTTAAGGAAAAAATAAAACCCTTCACTTTTATTTACAATTTTATTTTTGAAACATTCTTTTTTCCTTCACATTTTACTATTTATAAACTGTAGGTTTTTTTTTTTTTAATATTTATTTTTTAGTTCTCGGCGGACACAACATCTTTGTTGGTATGTGGTGCTGAGGATCGAACCCGGGTTGCACGCATGCCAGGCGAGCGCACTACCGCTTGAGCCACATCCCCAGCCCTGTAGGTTTTTTTATACAGCTGAACTCTTACAGGAACACAAGTGCTTATTGTTTTTTATCAGTAGATGTTAGCTGATAGGACTTGTTTAGAAATGAAAACAGGATTGCATTGCATATCATATAAGTTTCTGTTGGTTCTAGGCTTAATGTCCATTATCCCCTCCACACACACAAAAAAGCCATTATTTACCCATGCAGAATCATGCACTGCTTAATCATACCTGCTTAACAGAGATGCATTCTGAGAAATGTGTTGTTAGGTAATTTCAGAATTGTGTGGACATCATAGAGTATACACACTCTAAGACAGCTATGTTATCAGTAGGTGACATAATCTTATGGAATCACCATTGTAGATGTGGTCTGCTCTTGACCAAAGCATCTTTTCTTTGGGGAGGGGATACCGGTGATTGAACTCTGGGGCACTAAACCACTGGCCCACATCACCAGCCCTATTTTCTATTTTATTTAAAGACAGAATCTCCCTGAGTTGCTTGGTGCCTTACCATTGCTGAGGCTGGCTTTGAATTCATGATCCTCCTATCTCAGCCTCCCAAGCTGCTGGGATAATAGGTATGCACCACCAAGCCCAGAAACCAAAGCATCTTTATGTAGCACATGCCCATATTATAGTTGAAGAAAAGACTAAATTAAGGAAAAAGGTAAATGGTGGTATTCTTTCTTGTGTTCTTCAAAAGGGAAAATCCGTTCAACAGTTATACTTAAAATGCAAAGAAGAGTAATTAAACATCTATCATCAGGAAGCCATATGGACTACTCTCGAAGGGATTACAAGATGTTTGTTTTTATTAGGCTCCAACATCCAGACCACAAACTGAGCAACTTTTTAAAATGTTGGGAGATTCTTTTTCTTTAATCAAGAATTTAATCACATAGAGATCTTAAAGGTCTCTTACCACTGAATTCTCATCGAGTCAATTTTAGTGTCTAATGAACCATTGGATCTCTCATCATTTTCTCTAATTCTTTCTCATGAGGTTTAGAAAACCACTCATGTCACTGTAACAAGAAGAAAAACCATTTACTCCTCAGAGACATTATTTTCAAGGAGTTGGAAAACAGACGATAGTATATACATGTCATACCAGGAAAAACAAGCATTCCTTAGAGAGATACCTGCTGGGCTTCTGTGATTTCAAAGAAAACATGCCATTGATTTATTTATGAGAACCCATGGCTTTTCTGTTTTCTTGAGTTAAACATTTATTTGATACAATGCAGGATGAGGACATTATGAAGGAAAAAGAAGTATGTTCAGTTACTTTTTATGTGACCTTTAAAAATTATCTCTTGTACAGGAAATGTGAATATTTTCATCATTGAGAGACTTGGTAAATTGGCATTTTTCATTGGTAAATTGGGATTTCATTTCACACTCACTTTTTTTTGTTAAGCTCTGTTTTCTCTTCTCTTTAGAGAAGAAACTTCGAAGAATCAAAGGTTTAAATGAGGAAGTCACTTCCAAGGACATGCTTCGAACCCTGGCCCAAGCCAAGAAGGAATGCTGGGATCGGTTCCTCCAGGAGAAGTTAGCATCTGAGTTCTTTGTAGATGGACTTGATTCCGATGAGAGGTAAATTGATTTCCAGTCCAATTCCAGTCTGTTTCACTGAGAGCACTTCTTCTCTAAAGAATTCAGAGATAGTGACATCTGAGTCCTGATATTTTTTTGAGATCAACATTACTTCCTTTTTTTTTTTTTTTTTTTTGAGAGAGAGAGAGAGAGAGAGAATTTCAATATTTATTTATTTATTTTTTTAGTTTTTGGCTGACACAACATCTTTGTTTGTATGTGGTGCTGGGGATCCAACCCGGGCCGCACGCATGCCAGGCGAGCACGCTTGAGCCACATCCCCAGCCCCAACATTAGTTCTTTTGAGCTAAAATCAGCCTTTGTAAAGTTGCTCAGTTTGCCGTAAAGCCAATACCCCGGCTACATGTTAGTCACAGATTGAATAGAGTAGAGGATAACACCTCATATTGTAGCTACTCAATAAATTTGTGTAGACCAAATGTATAAATTTATTAAGCAGCTACTGTATGATGGCACTGTGCTTGGTGTTATGAGAGGGTTGTATAAGAAGTTTTAGCCTTTTAGCAATATTTTTGTTTTTGTTTTTGAGTTTTAAGTCCTCAGATAGAGACAGACAACAAATATATATAAAGATTACCTAACAACAAGAGGCAGCATAAGAGAAGAGCTAGATGAGTGGAAGTGATAGAATGTACTTTGCAGTTAAGAGACCGTTGAGCTCCTCCTGGCTCTGGTGTTTGTACCAGGGAGGAAGGGAAGGCTTGAATGATACCTGTGGTGATTTGGATATAGGCATTGTGTCATAATAAGTTGTTTGGTACTTAACACTTGGGAATTTGACTGTCCCATTTAACTAATTGTATGTTCTGGAATAAATAACCTGTGTGTGCTTCAGTTTCCCAGTCTGTACAGTGGGATTGATAGCTTTTATCTCATAAGGTTGTTATGAGAGTTAAATGAGTTACTCTGTGTAAAGGCCTTAGAACACTGCCTGTCACATGTTAAGCACAATATAAATGTTAGCTATTGTTAATGTTATCTTCCCTAGCAGAATTTTAAAGTTTGGTAAGAATTTATTCAAAATAAAAAGTAATGGAGGGAGCTCATTAGTACATATAATTTTTACGTTTTATCAATTAAAATAAGAAATTTAATTAAAAAATGCATTGGGGAGTGAAAAATTGAATTTTAACCAAAGGTTTATGCTTTTATCAGTTAAAAAAGGAAATTTAATTTAAAAAATTCACGGAAGAGTGAAAACTTTAATTATAATTAGGGAAATATGATTTAACCTAAGTTTGCAAGATATCATTAATATTGATATTGAGAGTCCCATCATATCAGATGAAGATGCTGCTGCTAAAATCAAGGACAGTGTGTGAATAAACTTCATAGTTGTATTTTACTTTTTAATTTGCAAAAGCACTTTCACTTATATTATCTCAAATATTGGATCAGCATGTCCCCAAATCCTTCAGAAATTAGCATGGTCTCTAAGGTCAGGCCAACTACCTTCTGAAGGCTCATAAAATAAAATAAAGTTTGTTCTTTTCTCTCTGAAGGCTCAACCTAATTGACCTATAAACTGCCTCAAACATAGGTGATTTGAGGATGTATAGATTCTGACCTATTAACAATTTGGTGTTTGCTTATAGTCTCTCTCCTCTTGCATATCTTCCTACAATCCACTTTTGAGGAAAAAAAAAAAAAGACAAAACTTTCTTCTGTATAATTCTCCAGAAAGAATGATGTTTCTTTGAAATCAGAGTAGCACATTTTTGCGTATTTATCCATGCTTAACATAATGGGGCTCTCCCTTTTCTATAGAAATAATTTGAATAATTCTGTGAAAGGATAGTTGATGAAAATTAATATCCCTATCACACCTGATTCCCCTGAGCCATGAGCATGAGAGTCAGTCAGCCGCTTGCTCCACTCTCTGATGATTGGATCTGATCCCTATGCCTACAACAGTGGGAACTCTTCTTTCTATCATCCTTCAGGACAAGCACCATTTGTTTTCAAACTTCAAAGTTTATGTTTTAAGTAGAGGTCATTTTTCAGTGGACTCATGTGGGTCTTTGTATTTGTGAGGGCCAAGTAGATGATGCTCCTCCTTGTGTGCTTTTGTCAAAGAAGTAATGGCTAAGAAATCCAGCTGTCCAAAGCACAATTCCCCCATACACTGACAAATGTCTAAAATCTGCTGTTATGGCATTAGGCTATTAAAGAGCATAGAATGAGGTTTACATTATTTCTTATCATTTATATTTTTCTGTAAATGTCTAATAATTGTAAGGTGTAGGAGCCTGGGTACTTAGGGAAGGTGGGAGGGTGGCTGTGAGCCTGACAATCATCCTCTCTCTACATAGGCAAACACAAAGAGCCTTCTGGCATAATGGCCATTCTTTTGTGGGGAACATTTGCAGCTCAGATGTTTCTATCTTGGGGACTTGCTATGGGATGAAATAAACAACACACACACACACACACACATATAGGAAATATTGCACTTGCTACAAATATAAGCACTATGTATATAAAATTGAGCCTCAGATGCCTCAGGTATGAGAGATTTAAAGATGCTCACTTTTCTGCCTCGATAATAATTTCATATTTATTTGAGTGTTTCCTCCCCTTGACAATTTCTCTCCTCTTCAGTTTTGAGGAAAAAAGGATAAGACTGAGGCATAAGCTCTTCAGCTATTCTCATCAAGCCTTCAGAGGCTCTGCCTTTGAAGGGGGCCTGGTGCTGCTTATAGCCAAAGTGCCCACTAGGGGGTAAATTATGCCGTGGAGCTGCCAGGATGCACAGCTGTCAGAGGAGCATCGCTGTTCTCCCGTGTTAGCAGTGAAAAACAATTGTAGGAAGGAATTGGTGGTGGGAGGGAAGGCAATATTTGAGTAACTGAGCTAATCATTAAGTGATTAATCATTGAGGTCTGATACAGCCACCCTTTTCTTTTGCTCTTTTGTAGCACCTTGGAACATTTCAAGAGGTGGCTCCAGCCAGATAAAGTAGCCATCAGCACAGAGGAGGTCCAGTATCTGATCCCTCCAGAGTCGCAGGTTGAGAAGCCAGAGGCGGCTGGGGACAAGCCAGCGACAGCAGAACAATAAATTACATACACACAAGCTGAGCAGCTGTCTCAGGTCCAGAGGGAACAGCAGAGAGCTCAGTGGCAATGGCAGTAAGGAGAAATCCAGGGAGGGTAAAAGCCCAAACCTCCACTCCACAAAGCAAACAGCTGCAGGCCCCTGAGGACTTGCTTGGGGCTGGCATGTGTGACTGTCTTGGATGAAGTGACTGACCCAGTGAGTGCTGGATCAGAATACTGCTTTCCTCTGTGTCTCAGCTTGACTGAGCTCTGTTGCTGGTTAAAATTCTGATGAGGATCTAGTGAAGGACTGGGTGTAAAAGTACTTGGAGACACTGATGCCCTTGTGTATTATGTTAAGTGAGCCACATTTTTTCTTGCCTCTTCTATATCCCAAGTATTCCCTTGGTGAATTGTCAGGGGTGAGTGGGGCTAATGAGAGTGAAGTCAGCTGCCTTGAATCCAAGCCCATGTGGAGCTTCCATAACAAATATGTAGGAAATAGAGGGACTCTGAAAAAAGAGGCTGGGCTTTTCCTTTGTCTGATTTTTGCCTTGTGGAGAAAATGGGTGAAAGAAGTGTGAAAATGTGGGTGTTTATATCTGTGTATATACATATTTTTATTTCATGCATGGTTTCTTCCCCAACTTCTTCCTGTGCCAGTTTCCAAATTAGATTTGTAAATATGGTTTAGTGCTTGACACTACTCCTGAATAGTTCCAAACTTTTTCCTTGTCACAGTTTTCCTGGCTGAGCCTGCACTTTCTTCCTTGTTTATCATACTCTTATTCATATAAACATACAAAATATCTGTTGTCCATATAAAACTTTTCTCATCAGAATAACTGTGTGTGGTGTTGGTGATTGGATTCCTCCCAGAGAGATGTTCCCAGGCAGTGGGAGGTAAAGATAAATGCATGCCAGTGAGGGGATCTGGTAACCTTTGCCTGTCTCCTGTTTTTAACAGAAGCCTCCCGAGGGTGATTCTGAAGCCATGGCCCCAGTGGAGCTTCTTCTGGGTAATAGTTTCTAAATCCCTAATGATGAGCAGAGAGGCTATAAAAATCTTCATTTCCAAATCAAGTATTTGCCTTACCCAGAAGGAATGGGGCTAACCAAGTGATTCCATATATTTGCTTAATGATATAATCCCCAAATATACATTTTTTTCATTGACTAATGGTATTAGCTTTATTCCTACTGATGTGTGTGTGTGTGTGTGTGTGTGTGTGTGTGTGTGTGTGTGTTAATAGGGGTTGAACCAGGGTACTCTACCACTGAATTACATCCCCAGCTCTTTTTATTTTATTTATTTATTTACTTATTTGTGGTACTAGGGATTGAACCCACGACCTTGTACATTCGAAGCAAGCACTCTGCCAACTGAGCTATATCTCCAGTCCCCTTTTTATTTTTTGAGAGAGGGTTTTGCTAAGTTGCAGAAGCTAACCTCAAACTTGAAATCCTCCTGCCTGAGCCTTCTGAGTAGCTGCAATTACAAGTGTATACCACCATGCCCAGTGATTTATGGGTACTTTGAGAAAACAGAACACTGACTATCATCTGGCCTCGGACCAAGCTTGGAGCTGCCATCTCTGCCTGGGATTCAGATACCATCAGACCTCACACTTCTAGGACTATCTGATGACTTTCAGCTGGGTGAATAGATTTAAAAAAAAAAAAGACTTGAGATTTTTCTTCACTCTACATGATAAATTTTTTTTCTTCCTCAGTAACAATAATTTAAGGAAAAATAACAATGAGAATCCTAAATACTCTTCATAGGACAGCTGGTCCTAGGGTGGTATGAGAATGTTTCTAAACCAGAAAATAGTGTTTTTATTACTCAAGCAAGAATCTAGCTTTTTCTTTTCCCTATCTCCCATTTTCTGTCTCAGAAAAAGACACTTTAGTAGAAAAGTTAGGGTATTGATCTAGAGGAAAACCTGGTGGAGGTTTGGGAGGAAGACCCTAGTTCTCTAGCCACCTTCTTGATTTTCTCTTTGAGGAGATCTTCACTGAAAAGGATCCAATGAGTTGTAAATGTTGTTATAGTTGGTTTTGAGGTGACAGCTTAAGTGACAACCCTAAAAAGGTGAAACCCCATTTTCCAAAACCAAAGTTGATATTAGCTCCCAAAGCTAACTTATTAATATAGATTAAACTTAGGCTATTAAAGTGGTACTAAATTTGAAACCAAGAGTCTAGGATGCTATCTTTGCTTTGTGGCTTAGTTGTGGTCATAAATAAGTCAAATGACCTCTTTGTGTTCCAGTTCCCTTAGTAATTGGACTAACCATAGGAAAAATTGTATTGGCCTAAAATGCTGATCTGTTTCCTTTGGCCTTTTAAACTCCAAGGAATACCGGTGAGGATTTCTCAAATCAGATTTATAAGTTAGGAGAGCCTTATCGCCGAAAACTTTCTTTTTCACTTCTGTCTTTAGTAAAACTGACAGAACAAATGAAGCAATATTTAATGCTAAACTATAGAGCCAATTCTGTTGGTAATTACCAACAGAAGCAAAGAAGCAATGACCTGATACACCCAGAGAAGCTTGGGTTGGAGCCAGGGAGATAAGCTAAGTGAGTGTCACTGTTCTTTCTGGCACATGCTCTCATCACCCAGTGCTTGGCAAGGTCAATGGAGGAATGGCACAGGCTTACATCCAATACCTTCTCCAGAAATAGGCCCTGGACGTAGGAACAGCAAGTAAACATCCCACAGCTGTTGCTGAGGTGTGTCCCTCCCAGACAGGCCTATCCACCAGGATGATTGCTGGAAGAGGGAAGAATCCTGGAGCCACTCCCTGGCCCTATTTTGGAGTGAGTCCTCCCAGGTTCAGAACAGCCCAGTCCACAAAACATTTTCTTGAAAAACTGAAAACTATGCCAACCAGTTTGGGCCCTGTTTCACATTACAAGATTCAAGATGTAGCAATTATAGGTTTATGGGGCTGTTGGAGCCTCAGAGTGTTTTGAGCCTTGGAGCAGTTTTTTGGATACTGGGGATTGAACCCAGGGATGCTTTACTACAGTGCCACAGTCTGTGGGAACAAAATCATGAGCCACCACAGCCTTGTAGATTCAAACAGCAATTCTTTATTCCCGAACTCACACCGGCACTCTACAAGCACATTCTGGGGACAATCCACACTTCCACTGGGCTCTGCATCCCAAAATACTCTCTGAATCCCTCAAGAACTCAACTGGGAACTCAAGGAGTGGGTGGGCACCTGAGGCAGCAGGATACTGCCCTATTCCTAGCAGGGTCCACCTTAAACCTGGAACCGCCCTAAACCCCATCCAATCGGCCCTAAACCCTGATCCGCCCTAAACCCAGATCTGCCCTGGTCTTTGAGCAAGGTCACCTTTCATGCAATGTCACTGCAAATGACCTGGGTCCAAGGCAAGCCCATTTCCACAATGGAGAGTCCTCCCTCTAAGCAACATGGGGTACGCTGACAAGGAAATTGCCATGCGTCGTTCTTACTTAGCTATGGCTCTCAGCACTACAGAACTACATCGCAGCCCTTTTTTATTTTATTATTTTTTTTATTTTAAGACAAGTTCTCACCAAGTTGCTTAGGGCCTCACTAAGTTGCTGGTGCTGACCTCAAACTTGTGATCCTCCTGCCTTAGCCTCCCAAGTTGCTGGGATTACAAGTGCACACCACTGTGCCTGGCACAGAGTGGATTATTTAAGGCATCTAAACAATCTTAGTTAAGCCCTTGCCATACTCCAGGCACTGTGCATGGTGCTGAATTAAAAAAAAAAAAAAACAACCCTGCCTTCCTACGTAGAATGATAGAGGGGCAGATAGGGCCTACATGACTGACACTGAGGAAATATAAGTGTAATGTGCTCTGAGAGCACCTGGGATGGAGAGGTGAGAGCTGGAGGCCAGTAAGGGTGGCGGGTAGAAGAGACAGTGTTAGGGAAGCTGAATGCAGAAAAACGGGTAGAAGCAAGAAGAAATAGAGGAATAAGAGTATGGGGATAAAAGAGAGTTCAAGAAGAGGAAAACAGCAAGTACAGAGGTCTAAGGGCAAAAGAGTTTGAAGCATCAAAAGTAGTTCAGTGTAGCTAAGAGCATAGAGAACAAAGGAGGAAGTGCTGGGTGTGGCGGTGCTCACCTGTCCTCCCAGCCATCCCAGTGGCTGGAGAGGCTGAGGTAGGAGGATCAGGAGGATGGAGAGTTCCAAGCCAGCCGTCCCAACTTAGTGAGACCCTGTTTAGAAATTAAAAAAAAAATGCTGGGGATCTGGCTCAGAGGTTAAGAGCCCATAGGTTCAATCCCTGGGGGTGGTGGGAGGAGGGAGGGAGAGAGAGAGAGAGAGAGATGGGAAGTAAAAAGAGGTGAGGTGGGAAATTAATAAGTTCACCCAGGATGGACTTTATAACCATGGTAAGGAGTTGGGAATTCATTATGGGAGAACAAGGAGTGTTAGATTTAGATATGAGGTGTCCCCCAAAAGCTCATGTGTAAAACAATGCAAGAAAGTTTAGAGGTGAAATGATTGGGTAATGAGAGCCTTAACCTAATCAGTGCATTAATCTACTTGAGTGAATTAGGTGGGTTGGTGGGGCATGTCTTTGGGGTATATATTTTTTTCCCTGGTGAGCCAAGGTTGATCTCTTTCAGCTTCCTGATTACCATGTCCTGAGCTGCTTTCTTCCACCACACTCTTCTGCCATGATGTTTTGCCTCAGTTGGGCCCAGAGCAATGGAGCCAACCACCTATGGACTGAGACCTTTGAAACCATGAGTGCCAAATAAACTTTTCCTCTAAAAATTGTTCTTGTCAGGTCCTATGGTCACAGCAATGAAAAAACTGAAATGAGGAGCTAATGGGCCATTTTAAAAGGGTCAATGACAAGATCAAACTTAAATCTAAAAAGATGGTTAATGGCTATTATGTGTTTGACCTGATTAAATTAATTTGGGGCGTACAAACTATTCACACTTGGCTACATGAAGTGTATGTATGATATGTCTACATGAAGTGATGCAATTCAAGGGCTCATGGTTTTTCTTTGGTTTTATTTTCTATCTTGATTTAAGGTTTATTATTTTTACTGTCATGTAACAAATAGAATCCTGTATGGCAGATTGTATTTTCTGATGATGGCCATGTCAATATCTCACATCCCACAAAATTCATGTTACAGTGTGTTGTGGATACTCCTCCACTGAAATGTTGGGTCAAGATTGCCTCCCTTTGAATCAGTCAGACCCAAGTAATTGCCTTGATAATAGAGTGTAGCATAAATAATGTGGCTTCTGAGGCTTTATTATAAAAGATTCGCACCTCTCCTCTTTCTGTCTCTTCATTCAAATGACTTCAGCCTCCCAGCTTTTAAGCCTGCTGGGTTAACACCAGTAGGTGGAATGAGAGACAAGTGGCCTCTGCAAAGCACTTCAGATTCATGAGCAAAATAAATGTCATGGCTTAAGCTATTAATTTTGGGTTTGATTTGTTACTCAACAATAGATAACTGATAACCACGATGTAAGTTTCAGATTTTATGTAGCTAATTTTAAGTATCTTTTTGTGCAGTCCCCTTTTGTTTCTGATGGCTATAGAATTTTAATACCTGTGCTGGCTGCAGTATAGAGAGAAGCAACATCAGATGCAGGCATCAGTTATGAAGGTGGTTACAGCTATCTTAAGAAAGAGATGATAGTGACTTGAAGACTTCTGTGTCCACTTAGGATATAGAATGCTACAGGAAAAAAATGTCACTCACACTCTAACAATGAGAGAAACAGCCAGATAATCTATCTAATCATAGTTTTCCTTGAGCCCA